GATCTGCAAAGTGACCAATCATGACACGATATTCAATTTGTGTGATCGACCAATCACGAGAAAGTTATCCTATATGGATAACCCCGGGTAATTTAATAATATCCGGGTAAAGATTTTCTCAACGGTCCAATCTCTAGTCAAATGACAGTACCGTTAGACAAGTTGTTCATTGGAAAATTGTCACATTCCCTTTTTTGTATATAAAATTTTTAACATTTACTGTGACGTATAGGTAAATCATCAATCATCGGAAACTCACGAAAATGTATAGGAAGAGTCATTTTAAGTTATTATTTGTACGAATACCGATACTGTATATAATTTCGGATAATTCTTTCCATGAGAATTTAAATTGATATAAAATAAGTTGTTTTCATAAATCGTTAAAGTCGTTAAAATCATTGAAATTATAATCGTATCTTGAAACATGTTTCGTTCAGTTATCTCACCAATAATTCTAACTTATAAAAAAGCGGTTACCTTCCCGGTATGCCATCATAAACTCATGATGGTTAAAGGACAAAATTCGACAAATTTTTTGTTCCTTAAATCCATTATTTCTCATCAATTCGCAACCGGTTCATTTAGAATGTTACAACAATCTTATGCACCTTCTTTTAACTCGCAAACTGTTCAACAAAATGGCAAAATTGATAAAGTTGAGTCACAAATCCCACCTGAAATATTATTGGACACACGTCATCCCGAACCAATTCGCCATGAAATCGTTGAATCTGAAAAACCGTTGAAATCAAATGATCTTGAAAATATAGATGTTAAACTTAATTTCCATCGTGAACCTGTTACCATAGCTGATAAGGTCGCTTATCAGGTTATTAAGTTGATAAGACTTCCCGTCGATTGGTTTTTTAAGAAAAAATACATTCATCGAGCTGTTATGTTGGAAACGGTAATCATAAAAATTATCATCAAAATATTATGTACATATGTATACATATTTGTTTTTAGTAAAAATGACTTATCTTAATCACGTATTTAGATTGCTGGAGTTCCGGGCATGGTTGGAGGAACTGTTCGTCACCTTCAATCTCTCAGAAAATTAAAACATGATGGAGGTTGGATTCATCATTTACTTCATGAAGCCGAAAATGAACGGTAATTATTATTATTACTGGAGTCTTTGATTTATGCTTGTGATGGTTCGTACAAAAACTCATTTTACATTCGATAGTATGCATTTAATGACTTGGATGCGTATTGCTCAACCTAATATGTGGGAACGTGCTTTAATTACCCTCGTCCAAGGTATTTTCTACAATGCGTTCTTTACTTTATACCTGCTTAGTCCAAAAACCGCCCATCGTGTTGTTGGGTATCTTGAAGAAGAAGCTATAATTAGTTATACCTCTTTTCTTAAAGGCATGCTATATAAATTATCTTTTTCTCAAAATATTATGATTTCACTGGACTACAAAACAAAATCTTATATATATATATTTTTTTAAAAAAAATCATAATTATTCAGAGATCGATGCGGGTAATATTCCAAACATTAAAAACATTCCTGATATAGCTATTGATTATTGGCATCTTGATCGTGAAACTGCGACTTTACGAGATTTAGTTTTGGCAGTCCGTGCTGATGAAGCTGTTCATCGTGACACAAATCATCACTTTGCCGATCGAATTGTGCTTGGTCGCGAAGACTTAAGAGAAGATATTAAAAATACAATTGCTAACGAACCAAATCGATTTGGTGAGAAACTTGGGAACATTGCTGGGTTCAGTCAGGATGCTAATGAGAAGTGGAAATGGAAATAATATTGCAACAACGAGTATTACATATCATCGTGAAAGAAGTTATATATGATTTTTTGAAAGACTAATACAGGAAATTTTATTTTTTATGCGAAACTCATTTTCTTTATGTTTTCTTGGTCTTTTTTTTTTTTTAGTTTATTAAGTTAACTTTTTTTGTATGTGTTATTCAACAAATGTTTTATATATGTAAAATTATTTTTATGAAAAAATTAAATAAATAAGATAAATAATTAACGCATCTTTTTTGCGCATTTAGTTCTGAAAAATAGATGCTTCATCCCTAACAATTCTTGAATAAGTTGATATTGCTGGTAATTAGTGTTATGAATCGGAGCAAAAAACGTAATCGATTAGTTGGTTAAATATTTTCTAAAAAATCGATTATTGCGGTTTGCAAAATTATGTGAAATTTGATGACTTTTAGATTAGACAACATTTGTGCAGTTATTATTTTGTAAAAATTTTATTATTTTTATGGAAATAAAAGTTGCATACTCATCATTTTGTAATATATTTGCAGAAATAGGAGTTGCGAATTAAAATATTCAATCAAATTTTTACAAATAATAAATGCGCAAATTTTGTCAAGTCTAAAAGTCAAAAAAAACGGTGAAGAAATCGGAAATCAGTGATTACTTTTTTTTTAATGATCTTCAAATTTCACATAATTTTGCAAACCGCAATAATAGTTGGGTCAAATCGATTATAATAATCGATTAGTTGCCAACTCGGCCAACTAAACGATTAATCGATTTTCGATTCATGTCACTACCGTAATATATTCGGATAAAGTTTGGTACGTATAAGGGACATCATAGTAAAATTCTTTAAAAATAATATATAATTAAAATTTTAAAAATATATATATTATATATATAATTATATATATGTATCTTTAATTTTAATAAAAATTTTAATATTTTTTTAAAATATTTTTATTATGGTGTTTCTTATACTAAACTTTAGCCGATAATTCTTATAGAATTATGATATTATAACATTTATAATTGATAATAAAATATGCTTCAATAAGTTTAGTAAAGGTTGAACTCGATTTGAAAAATATAAGTGCCGTTAATAAAATACTAATTATAATGTAATAAAATTAATTTGCTACGTGCTATATATCGATATAAAATTATTTATGAATTGATCAATCACAATTGACGGTATATATGCATACTGCGAAATATGATCTATACATTTATTCTACTCTTTATATTAAGTTTATTTTTTATTATTATTAAAAATATATATATTAAAATATATATCCCTTTCCCTACAAAGATTTCAATGCATCATTCATCATTGGCTTTAGGATATTATTATTATCCACTACATTCCATATATCTCGTTCTACATCGGGCGATAACTGAATTACACGATCCGCAGAACCATTACGAGAGCGCGTTATTTTAATTAGACCGGCACTTTCAAGCCTTTGCACTGGCATTTCAAATTCACTCGAATTTACTGGTAACAAGTGATTTCTATTCCGGCAGAATCGTTGATATTCCGGAAATAGCTAGAAACGAAAAGATATTTTTAGAGAATTAACAAATAAAAAATCGAGTAAATTATTTGAACTAACCTCGCCGTAAGTAATCTTTTTCATTTTTTTCTTCTTCATGATAACCAATGTACAAATTATGAGCAGTTGAAGAAACGGTAGAGCATTAAGAGTTCGCATCATAGATGTGCCCGTGATATCAGAGTTTGTAATTTGATTAATATGTGTAATTGTGACCATTGGTGAATTCGAATTATCAAGTTCTGATTTCTCCGCAGAGTCTTTAACGTCTGGGTCTAATATATTATCAATATCTTCAGTCTCGGCAAGTTCAAAAGATTTTCTAAGAACATCTAATGCCTTTCTACAATCGCCGTTATTAGCCGCAACTCTTTTTGCGCACAATTCGATTGCTTTATCATCTATTAAGAAAGAATGTTCTGAAGATGACGCAGCTTTAAGGCGGTCTTTAATAATATCCGCAATCTCGGAATTGTCATATGGAGCAAAGTTTAAAACTTGTAGTTGGCCTATTGTATTGAAATAATGTAATAACAATTATATTATATCATATCATATCATCTTTTACAAATAAACGCACAATAAAAATGCTACAAACAATCTTTGTCCTTGAGACGAGGAAGTGATTCCGTAAGTTTCGACATGTTTGATATTCCAATCAAAATCAATCGTGAAGTGTGCACGAATGTCCAATCAAATAATTTGTACAATATTTCTCGATCATTTGTTACGAGAGAATCGATTTCATCCAATATAACAACGCTATTAAGAAAAAGAAATTAAAGACTTTTATAAAATATATAAATTAATTGTGAACCAATCACAGATATCTAATTACTTACTACATAGCATTCTTTTTTGATTTCAAAAATAAATAGTTAAGAACTTCATCGGCACTCTTTACGCCATTAGTCTTTTGGTCCAATATGTCTAAAATTGTCGCGTAAATCTTTTTCGGATCATTGAGGCTCATACAATTAATATTAACAAACTTGACAGAACATTTTGCTTTTTTTTCGATAGAATCTTTCATATCATTATAAATTTCGTTTACAAGAGCCGTTTTGCCAGTGCCGGGTATTCCGTGAATAAAAAGATTTCCAGGTTTTTTTTCAATAATATGCTTTTCTAAAAATTCAGTGATCGTGTCTCTTTCTGTTTCGCGACCCACAAGTTTTTTTGGGGTAGCAGATAAACGAAAAAAAGACTTTGCATTGTCATAAACCTTTTCTGAAGTGCCTGGTTTGGATGCCTTAAAAAAGCCGCTTAAACGTGCACTTTTAGGTGTCGTGTAAGTTGCTGGAGGAGGACTAGCTTCAATAGCTTTAATTTGGGTTGTCTGTTGAGGAGCCTCAGTCTCTTCTTCTTCGGTAGTTGAACTTTTAAGTCTTTTCGGGGACGTTCGCAAATTTTTCGAATTTTCCGCTTCGTCTGCAGATACCTTTTGCGTGGTATTCTCGGAATTCCTTAGTGTCAAGTTTTTCAAATTTGGTCGCTTAGATTTGGTTTTTCTACGTCTTGGCGGCATAGCACCCAAAATAAAACAAAATAAATTTTGAAAAGATATACAAAAAATAGAAAGACTGCTATCGATAGGAGAGTGATTTGACGCGTCTACAGCTCGTGTATCGCTTTATATTGCCATATTGTCCAAATGTAGAAGTTACACGTTAATTATTCACATGAGTTACACTCAATGTGTGACAGAAGTTCTCTTAGCTATCTTTACGGCTATGACATAGAAGCCGTGCTACGTACGTACGCACGCGTCTTTGGTGTATTTTTAATGATCTTGATAGTTATACATGATTATATGTGATCTTGCAATTACATGTTTTTGGTCGGCTTATATTAATAAACTCACACAAGTCAAACTCCTACCAGATCGCAATGAAAAGATAAAAAAATCCTAATAAAAAATAAATAATATATTAAAAAATTTATTAAAAAATTACGAGTCCAAACGCGAACCAATGTATGTAATTCATGATGACAATGTCTTGCGTACTATTAAAGATTGCATAGTAGAATTTAAGAAAAAAAAAAAAAAAAAAAAACCCAGAAATTCCAAAAAAGAAAAAACCAGGGATATTACCAATATTTAATACTGCAAGTCACGCAGAAAATATCTATAACGATAATTCTGTAAACATTATCAATGTCGGGTGAGAAAACAAAAAATAAAAATTACCTATTAATTTCATTATCTTCAAGAGTTCAAAGTAATTATGCACCAACAAAAATCTTAAAATGAAATCAATAAAACTCAAAACATAGCACAGTTAAATGAAGTGATTCTAATCAACGAAGAAAATATAATAAATACAAATCAAAAAATTATTCAAATAAATAAATAGCAAAATATTCGTAAACTAATCATTATAATAGCATCAATAGCATCAAAGATTTATTGCCAAAACAGTGAAGATTATTCATAAAATCTTGGCATACTTATATTATCTTTTTAATTTCCTTGTGTTTATTGCTTCTTTTTAACATGTTTTTTAAGTTCGCTGAGTATGTAACGATTACTTTTTACATCTCCAGTAATATAACAATTAAGCATTTCCTTTCAACTGACATTAAAGATGCATTCATAAAATCTGAGAGTAGGATCATATGAAGAATGTAATTTTCCACTGCTTCTCTATCTAAGATATAGCATCTAATCTTGTTCTTTCTTGCTAATAATCCATTGGACGCGTTTAATCATACTTCTCTTTGGAAATATTGTATATTTATTAATGTAATTAACTGTATATTTTAAGGAAGCCAGTTGTTAACTGATTTTTCTTCTCGAACCAGTAGAGCAATAAACAGCCTTCTTAATACTCTAAAGACTCTAAAGGTAGTTGTATCAAATAAATACACGGTTAAAAAATAAAAAAAGTATGGATCTATAACATTCTTATGAGAATAACTTTATTTATATAATGATTATTATGAAATTAATTCTGCACACAAAGTCTAATCAATTAATCCACCGTCTATTCTTCAGTTCATTCTAATAATAAACTTATAATGTAAAAACGCGATTCACCCATTCCTTCATCATTATCGAACATTTTTCATTATTTTCAATAGCATTTATAATTTGTTCTGGCAACAACAATAATCTCATCATTCTATATTGCTTTTGTTGAAATTTATTTTCATCGACACATTGTAAAATTTTACGCGACTCCAAGAACTCAAATTCAGCAAGTGCAATGTGTTCTTTACATATCTTCATTTTATATGTACCACCTGATTCTCTCGCGTAACTTTTCATATAATTCTTGTACTCTTCATAAACCATTGTAAAATTAAAAGTTTTTGTTTGGAAACGAATATCTAATGAATTGATGGCAAGTAATAACCATAATTGATTTTGCGTAAGTCCTATAAATTGTTCAAAAAAAGCCAATTTTTGTCAAGAAAAATTAATAAAAAAAATTACTAGAATTATTTCATATGTTATTTCAATAATTACCTTTTAAAATAGTATCCATGTTTCCACAATTTTGCAAAGTTGATATTGAAAAATCTTCCGGTAAAAGAAATGGGGAATCGACCGTCAATTTGCAGACCGCATCAAACTTGTTAAAAGTGAAAGAATCATCTAAGACCCTGTTTTGGCTTAAATGGTCAATGTCATTGATTAAAAAACCCAACTTACACATATTTTAAAAAAGTTCCTAATAAAGTCTGTTGAAAAATTAAATGTTTGAGTTATGAGATTATAGAAAGATTCATCATCGAATAATTCCTAAAAGTATCAAAGAGCAAGATGAACAATTAATCTTCAACGAAATTATAAAGTCATCCAATATATAAAGAAAATTACTATTGAATTACTTCTATTTTTTCATTGAAAGTCTGACAATATTCTGCGTCATCAACTATTGTCTCATTTATCATCAAACAATTTTTAACAATTTCAATAAAACTTTCAATATTGCAAGGTCTATCTATGTCAATATGACAATAAGAATTTCGAGATAGGATGTTTTGAGCAAGCTCGTTGAATACACTCTAAATGAATGATATATGAGTATACTATGAAACGATAGATAAAGATAAAATTTGCTAATTTAATGTGTACATACCGCCTTTCGTGTAATTCCAATTACTGAAATTGGACAATTTTTGCTTGTTGCAATATTAAATATATTATAAACAAATGGTTGACTGCAATTTTTCACAAATGCGTCAAAATTATAGATTATTATAAATATAGGTTTGGTATTATTAGATCCAGATTTCAAAAGATTAAACACGTCTCCATCTGATCGCTGAAAACATAAATAACCAAGTTAAAAAAGAAATGTATAAAACTTAATCATAAGCAAAAAAAAAAATTAATCTACATACAAATCCCTTAATTTGCTGTCCGAGTTGTGAACCAATTTGATAACGTACAAATTGATCGGAAGTATGTAATAATCCGTTCAGATTCACGCAATAAAAATCATCATTGTACGTATCATTTAGGCCTTGTACAGTTTTTTTAACCAACTTTTGAAAAAGAGATGATTGGTGAAATTAACGCGTATTGATCATATATCGCAAATATATATATATAAGATAAATGGACAATATAGTACCGCAGTTTTCCCACAGCCAGATGGTCCAATAAGTATACAAGTGTTACTTTCACCCAAAGATACAGTTCGGCTCATATAGTTTAGCAATTCTCTAGAATTATTATCAATTATTTAATCATAAAGGTAATTTAAACTCAGTTTGGAATTCAACTTACGTATATTGCTCATCTAAGCCTACAAGTACATCAGGCACTGAACGATCTGTTAATCTTTCTTTTAGTATTTGGCGTGTTTTTGTGACGAAATCTTCTAGATAACTCTCGTAATCCATTTGAGCGTGCGTTTACGCGTATAGTACACTGCCCTGCCAGTGATCACCGGAATTTTCAAAATTATATACGATCGACGGCTATGACTCACGTCATACAATAATTTTTTTTGGGACAAATCTCTTACTATAAATATACAAATTTTTTTTTTTACAGTTGCGCCAGATGAGCATGGTGGACAATCGTGGTAGTACAAACTTCCAAACTTGAAATTTGTGACTCAGGACCGATCTGTCCAATAAAAG